AATTCCCCAAACCATTTTTCTTGATTGCAAGATGCATTTCTGGCCCATATTTTACTATAAACGACCCCAAAAAAAAAAAAGTGCATAAAACCAAAGCTCACGCTTGTCTCTATGAGATACAAGAGAGTACATTTTATAGACAGTTTAAAATTCTTTTTTAAAAAATTTAAGAATGGAATTCCATAAATCTCTTTTCTTGGTTACGAGATAAATTTCTGTCCATATTATACAATAAAATATACAAATAAATGCATACAATTAAAGCTCTCAATTATTTCCATAAGATTTATCTAAACTCACGCTTGTCTCCATGAGATGACAAGAGAACACATTATTATATACAGTTTGAAATTCTTTTGTGAAAGATTTAAGAATGAAATTTCCTAAATTTTCTTTCTTGATTATAAGACTCATTTCTATCTATATTATACAATAAAATATACAAACAAATACGTAAAACTAAAGCTCTCAATTGCTTTCATAAGATTTATTTAAGCTCATGCTTGTTTCCATGAGATTACAAGAGAGCACATTATTGTAGACAGTTTGAAATTATTTTTTGAAAGATTTAAGAATGGAATTTCCTAAATCTTCTTTTTTGATTATAAGACTCATTTCTATCCATATTATACAATAAAATATACAAATAAATACATAAAACTAAAGCTCTCAATTGTTTTCATAAGATTTATTTAAGCTCATGCTTGTCTCCATGAGATTATAAGAGATCACATTATTGTAGACAGTTTGAAATTATTTTTTGAAAGATTTAAGAATGGAGTTTTCTAAATCTTCTTTCTTGATTACAAGACTCGTTTCTGTCCATATTATACAATAAAATATACAAATAAATACATAAAACTAAAGCTCTCAATTGTTTTCATAAGATTTATTTAAGCTCATGCTTGTTTCCATGAGATTACAAGAGAGCACATTATTGTAGACAGTTTGAAATTATTTTTTGAAAGATTTAAGAATGGAATTTCCTAAATCTTTTTTTTTGATTATAAGACTCATTTCTATCCATATTATACAATAAAATATACAAATAAATACATAAAACTAAAGCTCTCAATTGTTTTCATAAGATTTATTTAAGCTCATGCTTGTTTCCATGAGATTATAAGAGATCACATTATTGTAGACAGTTTGAAATTATTTTTTGAAAGATTTAAGAATGGAGTTTTCTAAATCTTCTTTCTTGATTACAAGACTCGTTTCGTGATTGATGATTTACTGTTATTTGGCATGTTTTACAGCTTTAAATGCATTATGGGGTTTGATGTGTTCATTTTATAGTTTCGAATGCATATATTACTGTTTTATTAATTATGGGTTGAATGACTGAAGAACTGATACTGTATGTTGTCTGTTCGGCATGAATTACGATTTGCTTGTTTAAATGTGAATTGATGATGCTTATTGAGGAAAAGGGAAATGAAACATTGTGTAGACTGATAATTGTATGATGGGGTCAGCCTGACTAGATATCCTGGGAGATGGTGGACGGACCGGGTCCGTAGGGAACCCTACCGGGATTGTGGTCTCCCATCCCGGACGGGGTATGGAGATCTTATGGTTTTGGCGCCCATACCGGACGGGGTATGGGGACGGCCCGTTTCACCCTCATACCGGACGGGGTATTGAGGTTTATGGTTTTGGCGCCCATACCGGACGGGTATGGGGACGGCCCTGGAAACTGATTATGAATGTTAAAGGTTAACGGGTAGCGGGACCCCTAGGGACCCCCATGGATACTAGTAGGCTGGTAAATGAGAAAAGGATATGTTGTATAATGATTGAATTACAAAAGGCGTGATAAGTGCTATGTTTTACAGCTTATATTATTCCATGATTGTGATAATGTTATTGTTTTTCTTATATTGTTTTCATAAATTCCACCAAGGTAAGTGGATGGTAAAGGTTTTCATGTTAATAAACGAGTTTATTGTAAATTATACTCCATTGGTCTTTTTGTGTTTTTCTACCCACCTTTACCTCCGTGACGGTGAGATATCGTGATGTTCTTACTGGGCTAGTGTAGCTCACTCCTTAATTAACCATTTCAGATCAGGAAGACATGGTTCCCGAGCCCGTTCCGCAGGAGGACGACGAAGGGGATGCCTAGAGACTCTGTAGTCATACTCATAGTTTTATTTTCGAGTTTCTCTCTTAGTTAGTTTAATCTTTTATATTTTAAGTAAGTTTTTTGGTTTTTCGTGTAAGGGATGTTAACTGAAATTTTGATCTCGCTTCCGCATTTGATATATTTAAATACTCATTTCATTTTAAATATTTCCGGGGACGTTACAAGTGAAAATAATAATTCAGTTAAAAAATTTTAAATATCATATATATATATTTAAATTACTTCATCTATTGCTTGATTATTCATAAACACACACTTTTACAAATAAAAATATGCAAAAATATATAAAAATTAGAAAAAATAAAAATAGAAAAACATTGTCACTGCGAAAAGGAACCAACATCCTTTAGTAAGTATAAATTTACAATTAAATTTTAAAAAAAATAACCCAATTTGATCCAAACATGATGAATGTAGAAGTAACTTAAGCAGGGCATGCAATTTTAGACAATCTAATACTCTATTTTGAAAGATTAAAAAAATAAAATGCTTAGAACTTGAATATAATTGAAAAATATGATTTAATAACTTGAATACAAATGAGAATTCAACAAGAGGTGTACCTGGTCAATGGGATTTTCTCCCCTCTTTCTATGTATGAAAAGATCATCCTTCTTGATGATTTTAACAAATTTCTCAACGAACTGTTCTATACTCATATTGACATCGCAGTCCTCCACAGTGTAACCACGATCCCTCAGCATCTGGAACACTATTCTTCGAACCTTTAATAGCTTCGTGATTTCTTCCTCAAGCACATACATTTTCTTCTTCTCACTTCACTAGCAAGATCACAGAATCCCATGTCATATATTGATTTCAACATCATTGAAATAAAAGAAATCTACATAAAATCTTCTTAAAGAATTACTAGAATCTTATGAAGCTTGAATCTGTTCTCGTGATTTCACAATCAAAATGGAAGAAAAAACTAAAGAATATGCAACCAACAGAAAAATACTCCATTGATGAATCAAATCCAATATGAGCCAGCAGAAAATGTTGTGTCTTAATTTATATTTTTCGATATCAGAACTCAAAATATGAGAAATCACAGGGTTATTCAGCCAACAACAATACTTCACTGACGGATCAAATTCAATATGACTAATCACAAAGACACGCATAACATCTATTAATACTTGTCAATTAAAAAATCATCTTGGTATTTCTCTCCGTGCATTTGATTAATATCGCGTATAAAAACTTATACTCTACACGCATTGCTTGTATCATAAATCAACGCAATAAATTCACCAAAGTTCATCGATCAAGAAAATAAAGTGGGTAGTCCATGTGATCATTCGATATAAAACTTGGGTGGTGATCAGTACCTCAAGTTAGATCAGAGAAACTAAGCCTGAGATCGAATTACAGAGGAATGATAGATTAAAGAGAATTCTCGACAAATAAGCTTGTAGGAAATAGGGAGAGGCGCAAATATGCGTGGGGTTTAGGGTTTTAGATAGTGTCGAGATCGGTTTTTCTCACGATGATATATTAATATAATCATTTACAATTTTGTTTTAAATAAAACAATATTAAAATGTATTTAAAATTTAAAAATAAATTTGATTTATCATTGACTAATATTATTATTTAAATGTATTTTAAATTACATTAAATTTTGGTATGGTTTGAAAATAAAATTTTATAATTCAACAAGCTCTATAATATCCCTCATGTTCATAGCTAAAATATTACAATAGAGTATATATTTATATACATGACTTTTATTTTTTAAATAACATTTAAGATAAAATTTAAGTTCGAACCATAATAAAAATATTATATTACTCAAATTTATATGTCATTGTTATATAATTTATTTATTTTTTTACAAATCATTAAATGACAACTCTCTCTTTTCCAATAAAAAGAGGAAGATAAATATGGAATTAAAATTTTCTCCATTTTGGGTAGGAAAATTTATGAGTATTTACATTTGTTTTGTTATAAAATGGAGAAATAATTAACATTATCTTAAAAAAAAAAAAAGAAAAGAAAAAATTAGGCCACATAATGCGAAGATTAGTTTAATTAATTGAGATTAAGAGAGATTCCTCCAAGCTTTGCCTCCATTCATATTGAATTTCTTAAGCCTTCCGAAAATCATGACCAATATTAAAATTATCTTTCCGTCATCACTCCATCTTCCGGCAAATCCATACCATTTATCCTCGCAATAACCGTCTGGATTTAACCGCCGTTTGCAACTGTAACCTGCCGTGAATCCTACGTTTCCATAAGCGCTGCAAATATAATAAAAAAATATTTTTTATTAGATTTTGATTAAAAAATTAATTAATATTTAAATCAATATAAATCCTTGAATACTTCTTGTAATGGTAAAATTTTCAATTATATGCAAATTTAATTTATTAAAGTCTAATGTAAATCTCTGTATTTATTTACTTCAATGTGTATATATATATATATATATATTATTTATTGGATGATATTTAAATAGTATATTTTAAAGACAACATAATCTTGTAAACTACACCTGATATGCCTCGGAAAGCTACTCGTCTAAAAAATATATACATACATATGTTCTATGTAGTACGATGCTTTTAGTACTATCTCAAATAAATATTAATATATATATTATATATATAAATTCTATATTTTTTAATTATGTAAAACTTTAATGCATAAAAAAATATTATACTAAAATTTCTGGATACTTGAATTTAAAATCAGATTGCATTATTGAGAAGGTGGTGAAAGTTATTTGTTATAATTATGAATTAGCATGGTTAATTAATCACGTTTAAACTTATCTTTAATAAATAATAAAAATATAGTAATTTTTTTAAAAATAATATTAGAATAATTTTTCATTGATTAATGATCTATTCTTTTGCCACGTGTCATGTCTTTTCTTTGATTAGAAATCAATAATTTAATTTCATTAATTACTCGTATATTGTCAGAGTATATATTCATATCAGTGCTCATGATGTCTACAA